AAATAAAATTTTATCTAAACGAGATGTTATAATTGTAAACATAAGAATTGTATGTGCGGATACAGTTAGAGGGTCTAATAACGCACGATCTTGTGTTTATTTTCGATTCGGTTCGGGAGTAAGCTTTTCAAATCGAGTTCAAATCAAGAGTGAGTTCGAAGAGAAAACAAAAACAAATTCGAATCGAATTTGGGAAGTAAGACGGCTGGTCGTTTTAAACTTATTACTTCATATACTTCATCCGTATTAAATGAGACGAACCAAAATTGAAACCTGTAGCGCCATCTCTTATTCCATACCGTAAGTAAATTATAAAGCTAAGCAAGAACCTTACAATTAGTTTACAAATGTGTTGGTAGATGTCGCTACTGTGCATATTTTTAAAAATTTTAAAGTGTAGTACCAATATTTCTCTTAAAAGGAGGTTGTTTCCTTGTCGCTCTGTGTTTAATCCTTACATATTTTTTTATATATTTGCAAGATGCATGTTTGTTAAGTCTTTTAAACTAAGTCAGCCGCAAACAAGTTTGAAAGGAACTGCTGTTGAAAATTGCTCTATTCTAAACTCACCTAGGTCTATTCAGTCCGTTGGCGAATAGGTAGCAAACGCCTGACACTATACCCGCCAGTAGGCCCAGGCTGACGCCCGTTGAGAGCGATAGGGTGTCTGGCATTGTCTCTACCGCACCTCGTCTGACGTCAATTTTGTCTCTTTCGCACGGTTCTTTTCGCTATTTGCCTATGATTGAGATTCGCCCATCTTTTGGTTGCCTGTTGACAAGTAAAGTAACTTCGTTATAGATCACCTTAAATTCTCGCAAAAAAGACACCGCTCCATCCAAAAGGCTATTATCGCGATTAACGTCTTTCGATAGGGAAGATAAAGTCATAGCTTATTAAATTATCAAGCATAGCAATACCGCAAGACTCTAGCTAATGAAGCGCATATCGGACTTTTTTGTATGAGAAGGTGGCAAGCCAGCTGGCGGGTCACCTGATGTCACGTGATAACAGCTGCCCGTGGACATTTTCAACACCCGTAGGGTTGCAAATGCTTTGTCACCGTTTAATAAAGTGGGCCACGGCTATCTCACTCATCAGACGAAAAGCAAAAGTATGACATATCCACTTCACGACGGTCTTCCGTGAGGTCGTAGTACTAACCCGGACGGACCTGCCCATTCGTGCAACAGCGAGCACTGTTGCGTGACCCTACCAAAGTTTAAACACTAAAACTATTATATAATACTAGCTGACCCGGCAAACGTTGTTTTGCCATATAAATTAATTGTAGGGTAGAAAAAATTTAGGGGTGGACCACCCTCAACATTTAGGGGGATGAGAAATAGATGTAGTCCGATTCTCCACTCTGGCCGATATGCACACAAAATTTCACGAAAATCGGCCGAAAATCACCGTTTCGGGGGAGTTCTATTACAAACACCGTGACACTAGAATTTTATATATTAGATTAGGTACACTCGCTTTTAATTCAATATACTCGAACTTGACTTCAAATTCCGGTACCGGCACTAACGTAATTGTTAATTTTTAGTGTTGACTTATCACCAGCTCAGTGGTGAAGTAAAACATCGTGAGGGAAAAAGCATTTTCCCTCACTCATTTTCTTTGAAATAATAACAAAAAAAATGTTTCGAAGATAGGTTAAGTCCGCCGAACCGCAGTGGAGTCGCGTGGTGGACTACGTCATACAAACGCCATACAAAGGCTTTTGCTCAGCAGTGGGACACGCTTAAGACTTTAGGTGACACTTAAGCGGTGGTTAAAACGAAACTAGCACATAAATTTTTTTTAGGTGTCGCTTAAACTTAGGGTCGATGGGGAAAACTTGCATAAGGGTAATAGTGTCACAGATAGACTTGTATGGGGATATGAATCAAATAATACCATGAATATCAGTCTTAAGAATAATGAACTTTGACCACTTAGAATTGAAGTATAAAGTCCATACAATATTTTAAACAATACATAATTTAGGATTGACATGCATCCATGCATTTTTAAAATGCAATAGTAAATGAATTTTACAGCACAAAAGTTGTCATCTCATCATCATCATCGGCCGTGAGTCGTCCACTGTTGAACATAGGCCTCCCCCTTAGACCACAACGAAAGACACTTCAGACGTCAGATGAAGCTTTAATAGTCTCGGGACTGAAACCACAAACATCAGTTAATACAAGAACGACACTTTGCCATTTGCATCCACCGGTTGCCCGCGACTCTTACGATGTCGTCGAATCAATTCGAATTGTTTTCGATTTTATTCCTGATCGATGGTTCGACTGATCGGAACAGGTCGTAAGTCGAAAGAGGCCACCGCTTCCTCTGCCGAATACTTACACTTAAACAACTTAATTGCGTAAGCTTCATTACAAACAGGTAGCCTGTTGAACCAAACAAGTAGTTACGTAAAAGTGATGTTGTATAAGCACCGATGGTATGCGCCGACCCTTAAGGAAGTGTTGCAATTGCCAAAATAGCGGACACAAAAAATAACACGTAACACTTTCGCTCAAGTTGACAAAAAATAAGGGCACCAAAAGTGTTGTAATATGTAGTACCTGGAGGACCTGGAGGTGATTTTTTTTTTTTGGTAAATCGTGTATTTTGGAAATTACATTTAGATACAAATTACTAAGTAATGAAATATGCATAATATGTTTCGATCTTACCGACGTAATAATAAGAAAATATGAGCTGGTGTTTTTCACAAAAGAAAGAACTTTAAAAAAAAGGGAAAAAAATAACAAAATAACAAATCGACAAAAAATATAAGATAAAGAAAGCAATGATCTGGAATCAAAAAAAAAAGTAAAAAAATAAGTGTGTAAATGATCGTGATACGAACCACGCCTTCTGTTTCGTGGCTGTTTGTTAGCGGCCGCCCGATTACCGAACGAGCTATTATAACATTTCCGTGAAATTTACCGTCGTATTCGAATAATATTTTTCATTCCCTGAAAACTGGGATAAAACGACATTGTCTAAAAATAAAACCTAGTCAGATCGATTTTTCGCCCCCGAATCTACGCACATACAAAATCTCATGAAAATCGCTGGAACCGTTTCCGAGATTCCGATTATATATATATACAACAATTGCTCGTTTAAAGGATAAGATTATTTTTAAGCAAATGAATATATATAAGCAAAAGATGAAGTAAATAACTCTTTACTGTGGTAGGGCCACGCAACAATCTTCACTGATGCACGAATGGGCAGGTCCGCCCGGTGAAGTACCACGATCTCACAGAAGACCGGCGTGAAGTGGGAGCGTTGCACTTCTGCGTTTCTTCTGGCAACCTTACGGGTGTTGCAAATGTCCATGGGCGACGGTTATCACTAAACATCAGGTGAACCGCCAGGTCGCTTGCCCCCTTCTCACATAAAAAATAAACCTACTTGTGTTATAAATGCGAGATATTTGTATTTCCTGATTGTTGTCAGGAAAAAAAATATTATAAGATGCCATGTATTGTATGCAATGTGTATAGCCAAGTTAGATAATTGCTCAACCAGTTCTAACGACTTACACCATTCTATCCAAATTTCACTAAGGCAACGTATTTTATTCTTGCGTGAAGTTAATATTATTGGTATAGTGTTAACGTACTAAGCTTATGTGCATCGTATTTGCATCTGCGAACTCACTGAAATATATGTTTTTATTTTCAATCGTCACAAGAATCTAAGATGTTGATGTCTTTTTATGGGACAGTAAAAAAGTATTTTTCAAATAATTATCTATGATTCGACCCGAATGGCGTTGTGGGTAGTGTACCTGCCTCCTGCGTCAGAGGGTGTGGGTTCGATCCCCACTACTGGAAAAATATTGTGTGATGAACATTGTGTTTTTCCAGTGTCTGGGTATAAACACCCATTGTATATGTATAATATGTATTTATTTACAAAAGAAAAGTATGTTAATCTCTTATCTAGTACCCATAGTACAAGCGTTGCTTAGTTTGGGACTAGAGAACGTGGTGTTATAAAAAAATATGGTCCTATAAAAAAATATAATTAATTCACGTGTCCTTTTGACATGATGTGCAGCTTACAATTATATATATTCAGACGACTTTGTTTGCCTTGCAAGTACTTAAATAAACATGAGATTACGAATTAATTTTTACTAATTATTTGCATTTCTTTTCATTTTTACTACGTAAACCAATATAACCATTAAATAAATTTAATTAATTCTACAAACAATGATTGTCAAAGTTTGCATTCTACTATTTTAGACTCCTGATCTTCTATATTGTCGAGTTGCTATTACAAATGGATTGAATATAGACGAGGCTGCATATACCACAGACTTATAAAGAGAAGCAGACTTAACACTAACTCACAAACACATGGTTAGGAATAATTTAATATCTTCACACCTTTTACTCTGATTAAAAGTCCAATAATGTTATCTCTTTCTTCCTGCTGTGGAAACATGAACACAAACATAGATAAAATTGTAATGAAGCAATCGCCATCTTGTTAAGCTGCAAATAAGCGACATATGGCGTCGAAAACAAATAGCAAGTGTTTTCTTTTGCGTTTATTTTCTGCGAATTGTTGTTCTTACGTCTTAAAAGTGAAAGAGGATGGTGAAGTGCAGTGCTCCTTTGTGCGGCAACGCAACTTATAAGAAAACAGCTGAAATTTCTTTCCATCGGTTAGTATTTAGTGTGTTTTTATTAATTTCCGTATGATCATAGAGATATTTTTTTGTTAATGGGTAAATAGGTTAAAGCTATTAGTAATTGCCACGCTGTAAACTACTACTATAGAGATTTTCTTTCGATTTACATTCTTTAATTGACTAATTTAACACCTGGGACTCTCTGTTTGACGTTTTATCTACTTGCATGTTTTGATGGGCCGCATTCAGTAATTTTTAATTTAATTTCAATAATTTTTAATAATGTATTTAGTTATTTATGACTGGGATCTCGGATGTATGCTTATCACATTTATTGCGCATGTTTCCAAAGGATGAAAATATAAAACTTGCGTGGTTGAGCAACATAAAGAGACCAGACTGGCAGCCCACATCAGCTAGTGTGCTATGTTCCAAGCATTTTGAAGCATCCTTAATAGATAAAAGCGGATTTCGAACGGTGCTTGCTCCAGGAGCCATTCCAACAATCTTTGATCTGGTGCAAGACGTGAGTATTTTTCATTGTTTTTAATTGAGGTTAAAAATTACTGCATTTTATAAGTATTATATTGATTTTCAGAATTAGTTAGATACTTAATAAAAATTTGATAAATGGTTAGATACTACCTAGATACTTATAAAATACTTAAGTAATTCTGGAATATCATGGCCATAGTCTTAATCTAATAAATTTGAAACATTAATATTGGTGGGACTCGGTAAAGTAATGCTGAATGTTTATTAAAAATACTTAAAGAGTGCCAGAGCATAACAATTAAATACACATACACTGAATAAAAGTACAATTTGTTAGAGATGCTTTCCTCACAAATGTGGTTTATTTTGTAAGCTAAAAAGCTTTTAATTAAGTTTATTTTGTAACAAGTTTATTTTGTAACAAGTTCCCAATTACTCAGGTATCATGAAATGAGTAAATTGTTGCTGATTGAACTGCACCTTGCTAAGATTAATATATCTGCTTTATGATTTTTTTTATTATTATTTTGAAAATATCCAGGTTTCCTCACGATGTTTTCCTTTACCACTCAGCACGATAATTCAGCATTTGAAATTATAAATTTCATTGGTGCCGGCATATAGTAATTAGAAACCTTTTCATTTTTAGATTATGCCTACTTCAACAATTACAAACGAAGGACAGATTCTGCGAGAAATTCAAAACATACAGCATGGTGTGTCTAGTACAGTCCCGAATTACGTAAGTAAATTTCTCGCAGTCTTTATGTCTGATGTTTTTTTTTGTAGTAATTTCTATTTATATTATTATTATGTCACACTCTGAAATATTATTCATAATGTATAATGAACCTACGATAATTTACTTATCTCAAAAATACTTCATGTACTTCCTAACCTTTTTTGAATTGATACATTTTTAAAGTGATAGAGTAAACAAAGGAGTAGATGTGCCACCTGATAGTAGATGGTCACCAATGTCAATTTCTATCCCAATAGGAACAACAATCTGGGTCACAAACTAGCAATTATCGGATCGAACCCACGACCCCGAAGCTGAAGCCAATACCTTGGCAACTGCGTCGCGGAGTCATCACGATTTTATGGTAAAGTCCTGTAAGGTGGAGAGAAGCCATTCTTTAAAGACTTGTCTCTTTCATTACAACATGGTTATATGTAACATTAAAGATAAAAAAGTAGTAAGTTATTTCTTGACTTTCAGGATGAAGACAATCATAGAAAAGAAGAAGAAATAAGAAAAATGAAATATAAAGCCGTCCTCAAAAATAAAAAGATAAAAGCACTGAGACAACAGAATAGACGGCTTAAGAATAAAGTCTCAAAGTTCTCTGAAATAATATCCAGCCTGAAAGAAAAATTAAATCAGGATGAACTTCATATAATTTCGGGAATTAATATAAAAAACAAAGATTTCCTTGTTAGATATTTGAAAAAAGCAAAAAGTTCCACTGTGAGTGAAGTATTTTCACCAGAATTGAGAGCTTTTGCTCTGCAATTAAATTTCTACTTTGTTCGAACTTCCTTCAACACAGTTTTACCTCACCCAGCCACATTGTCACGCTGGTACAAAAAAGTTGACGCTGAACCAGGTTTTACCGGCGAAAGCTTCGAAACTTTAGAGGCATTAGCTAAACAAAGCAAACATGAAGTGTTTGTAAATTTAAGTTTGGACGAAATGGCTATCAGGAAAGGATTAGTCTGGGACGGAACTGAAAATAAGTTTAAAGGCTATGTCGATACTGGCACAAATGTCTTCGACGATAGTTTGCCTTTAGCCACTCAGGCGTTAGTAATATTAGTGACGGCAATAAACTTTAATTGGATACTTCCAATTGGCTATTTTTTTATAAACTCTATGACGGGCGAACAACGCTCAAATATAGTCAAAATGGCAATTGTAATGTTATTTGACATTAATATTTTTGTATGTGGCTTAACGTTTGATGGTGCTGCGTCCAATATCGCTATGGCGACTCATTTAGGATGTGATTTCAATTTAAAACATTTCTATCCATTCTTTATGTTTAAGGGTAGAAGAATACATGTTTTTTATGACCCTTGCCATATGATAAAACTCATACGAAACACCTTAGGCGAATTTGGTAGTTTAATCGATCAAGACGGTGACGTGATAAATTTTAAATATCTCAGTCAATTGATGAAACTTCAAACCGAAAAAGGATTGCATTTAGCCAATAAATTAAAACAAGCTCATATTCTGTTCGCAAAACAAAAAAATGAAAGTGCGTTTGGCGGTGCAGTTATTCAGTAGATCAGTTGCCGACGCACTTTCTTTTTGTGAAGATAATTTTGACGAATTTAAAGGGGCTAAAGCAACGATAAAATTTATTTATATCATAAACGACTCTTTCGATATTTTAAATAGTCGGTCCACACTTGCGCCGGGACACAAAAAAGCTTTGTGTAGTGGTAATATTGAAATGGCAAAAGGGCTAATTGCTACTTGGCAGGAATACATCATGAATTTAAAATTACCGAACAGAAATTTAATTGTTAATTCGGCTCGCAAAACGGGGTTTGTGGGTTTTATTGTGAGCTTACGTAGTGCTCTTAATTTGTACGAGGACTTAGTGTGCAAAGGAAAATTAAAATTTCTGCCAGTTTATAAAAATAAGTCAGGATTTCTTAGAAATGTTCTTTGGAAAAATGAGGGCTAGGGGTGGATTTAATGATAACCCTAACGTTGTTCAATTTAGAACTGCTTATAAAAAAAACATTATACGAATAAAATTTAAAATGGAAGGAGATGGCTTCACCATTCCAAATATAATTTTAAAAACAAGTTCTAGCAAAAAAGTTGTAGATATTGTTAACGATACCACACCTAGTTTCGAAAAAAATTTAATGCAACTTCACAATATAAACGAAGAACACATCAATTGTTTTCTTGAAAATATTGTTTCAAACCCCTTGGATGTGTATGCTCACCATGTGACTATTTACATATCTGGTTTTATAGCTAGAAAAGTAATTAAAGTTATAAATTGTTATAAATGTCAAATGTTAATGGTAGGAGAAAAAGAAAATTTCTTTACATCGTTAATTAATAAAAAAGATAGGGGAGGTTTAACGTATCCGTCTAATGGTCTTATAAAAATAGTTCAATTGTGTGAAAAATTCTTAAAAATGTTCAAGGGAAATATAAATTACACAAGTCTGATTACATATATAGCTGATTCCTCAAATTACTATTCCGATTTAAAAACGAACGACGAACATGATTTTAATCACTTGTATTTATTAGTAAGTGTAATTGTTAAGAATTACATTGATTTAAGGATGAAGCATGATGCTAAACAAAGCAATCTTTCTGACCGGAATTATCTGAAAAAAATTATTTTGTTTAAAAATAAATGATTCTTGAATACTTCTGATTTTTATTCAACTCCATCCAATTACATTTGTAGGTTGGTAAATATTAATTACGTGCAATTTGATAACTAGTATTTTCGATAAACACAACCAAATTTGTAGTCTCTAATTAGATACAATCAGTATAGAGGTTGTGTCTTAATATAAGTACCAAGGGTATAGCGAGTAGTTTTATCGTAATTCTGTGTCCGCATGACAAATATTCGGCGCGATTTGATGACTATTTATAAATCAAATTACGATAGTAAGTTGGTAATCAGAAGTAACAATACTATATAAAAAAGTGAAGTGATAATTGTACATTGTAATTACTTTAGAAAAAAAAAAAAAGAAATAATTTAGAATTTTGCAGTGTTAAAGAAATAAAATATCAATAATTTATCCATTGAAGTCCCCGAATCCGGCCCTTTGAATTTTATCAGTGTGCGTGAAATAAGCATGTGGGTGTATTTGGCACGCTTTTTTAGTCATATGTTAGGTCTGCTTCTCTTTATAAGTCTGTGGCATATACAGATCCATTACCTTTCTTGTCACTTACGATCAAGAGTACTTATCTTACTGTCACGTTGACATTAAGCTAAGTTAGGCTCTAATTTATGGATGAATACACGGATTTCAGTTTCAACCTAATGGTGGTAAAACAATTATATAGTTAGACTGTTCATTAAAGATCATTCAGGATGTAAACGTAATATGTGTGATATTTTATTTGCGTCATATACTAATTGAATTTAATGTCTACTTCTTTAGAATTTACCTTCTCGAAATAATGAAATTCCTTCTTAATAACAATAGATAATAAACATGTAAATTATCAGCCTATAAATATCCCACTGCTGGGCAAAGGCCTCCTGTGTACAGAGAGTATCAGGGCATAGTCCACCACGCGGCCTCACAACGGATTGGCGGACTTAACATATCTTCGAAGTATTTTTTTTATTATTATTTCGAAAATATGCAGGTTTCCTCACGATGTTTTCCTTCACCGCGGAGCACGTGATAATTCAGCACTTGAAATAAACAATTTCATTGGTGCCGGCACCGGGGATCGAACTCAGGTTGCTCGAGTAAATTGAATTGAAAGCGAGCGCCCGGACACTGAGCTATCACGGCTCATAAACATGTAAAGTTGTATTAAAACTTTGTTTAGAACCCTTATCCACGTTGCACCTTAAACGAAACAAAAGAAACAAAGTAAACAATTAACCGACACACAAGCAATCTTCTGACATCTTCACACGACCCAATAAATATACATCAGCTTAGCGCAGTGCGGGAACGAGCTTTTAATACGCAGATTAGCTTTAACAATTTTCGATAAGATTGTTGAAACAAAAGTTCCCATTAAGGTGTTGCGTTGCAAGACTCCCAGGCTAAAGCGTTATCGAGATGTGGCTTAAAGCCAACACTTTGTCAGCATTCGTCGTTCCGATTGCAATGGTAAAGGTAATATTGAATAGGCTTTTACCGAACTTATTGACGTTACCAACAACGACTACGTAGCTGTTTACCATCAATTGGGGCAGAAAAGTAGCGGTGAAATCGTGGTGAAAATTCGTGGTAGAAGACATTTCAGATCCCTACAAGAACCCATAACAATTAACGGAATATGCTACTCTTTTGACTGAAATGAAATTATGATTGACACACTTGTCAGATTCTTTACGCTAAATCATTCATTTGCTGTTTTTTCCTTAGACTCGAAAACCAAGGAGAGCTTGCACTTGAAGACTCATTGCGGGCCAGGCAAAAACGCATCGCATTATAGACACCCAGACCGACAAAACTATTCGCATAACTCATTGCAATATTTGCGATTTGACTCGATTCGATATGTCGAAACGATTATTACTAGTAAATAGGGGCGCAAGACAGGTGAAGTTCGTCGACCCGGTTTCAATGACGTAAGTCAAAAGACACACGAACGTCCATCCTGCATACTTTCATATGCGACGGAGAAGGTTCCGACGAGGCGGGTTGCGTTCACGCAATTATCGCTTATTCGTAATTTCCGATTTAACCGTTCACCTGTGCGCGGCAAATAATCGACGGCCGACGTAATACGGTGATTAAAGTTGTGTTATTGTCATTTTCACAGAAATTCACTAAAGGATGGCTTTTTATGTCAATAGTTGGCGAACAAACGGGCGTTCACCTTATGTTAAGTGATCTCAACCCGTGGACATCTGCAACATCTGAGGTTATGCAGAATTGTTACCGAGTGTTAAGAAAAAGTGGTCACCCGTTACCTCAATCACTGGACGAAAAGCGAAAGTATAATAGTTACTTCTTCTTCACGCCG